TCTCAAAATTTCCGACACTGTTTTATTTTCATTTCTCGGAGTTGTACAGTATGGCTTGGTGTGGCGGGGTACAATTTACCTGTAAAGAATCTCACTCAAACTGTATGATATATACTGGGAAGCATCAAGTCCAAAGGCAACGTAATTTAATAATACCGTAAACGTCGGGATCCCAAATCGGATCAGTGTTGGTACGACAGTCATGTGCATCGGAGCGAATCTCTACTGCGGACAAATTATCACTTGTTCACTCAGCATTCACCTACATCGCACATCTCTTTCCCCAAGCACAACATATAATGGCAATCTTCGGGGATTTGCTCAAATACTTGATTATTAAATCTTGCTTCTGGGCTGCTGTGACCCAAGCCATGCTAAGACTATGGGCATGATGGCCAGAATACTATAGGTCTGTTAGTTTTCCCATTTTCTGCCACAAGTCTCCGATGGAAGCTAAGCAGATCAATCTCTTGCACAGTTACTCTTGCAACAGAGCCACTTCATCGAGGCGGGGATGGCGGTGAACCATTGGCTCAGTGGGGTATAAGCCATGCTGATATCGACTATCGAGGCTGGATGATCGGAAATTCGCGAATGACCGGCACAATAACGCGCCATTGTCTTCGGCAGATCACCGTTGCTGTGGGGCAGGAAGCCTAGCTTAGTGCGGAGATGTCGGTTGCAGAACATCGAAGCAGGGAGTTGGCGCGGCCCCCTCAAACAGCTTGAGTCTTGTGCTACTCCTATGCTGGCACTTCTGTGCATAGTGCCGAATTTCCCGCTGTCACCGATATTCCCCTCATACAAGCAGGTGATGAGGTATTCAGCCCACGAGCCGTTATGGTCGTGAGCTATGTCTGTGCTAGGCCTTTGCTGCATAGCAATGCTAACAACCTTGCTGTGCCGATCCCCCTCCCAGGGCCGATGAGGAATTCATCCGGGCAGCGCAGAATATGCATCTGTGCTTCTGCATTAATCCATAAGTCAAACCATTAAGCTGCCGCTCATCACCCATAAATATCCTTTATCCTCCGCTCCCCCGCTCAAAGCTTGGTTGTGTGCCTTTCCAAACTGACAGCTTGAGCGCCCATCATGCATCTTTTATCGCTCCTGTTCAATCCTTTTTCTGTCGGCATACTTTTGCTTCTCAGCACTAGCGGCTATGTGATCTACCAGTGCTTTCTGTCCCCCTTGGCTCGGATCCCAGGCCCCTTTCTAGCGAAACTCACCAACTGGCATCGGGCATATCTTACCTATGAGGGAAAGTCTCATCGCAGGTACCTTGCACTTCATCGGAAGTATGGCCCTGTGGTGCGCACGGGACCAAACGTCTTGTTAGTATACCCTTGTGTGGCAGTGAGCTCGTGACTGAGGGTATGTCCAGGAGCGTAGCAGAGCCAACAGCCTTCCGGGAAATATACAGTAAGTATCTTGGATCTTTTCCAGTAATTCGAGGCTCTAAAAGACAGTAGAGGCAGGAGGCAAATTCACCAAATCCGCGTCGTATAGCGTCCCAAACGAGGCTCACGCTTTTGACCTCTTCCGCCAACGGAACGAAAAGATACATGGCGAGCAGAGAAAGCTCGTTGCACGTGCTTACTCAATGGACTCGATGGTCTACCTCGAGCCCAATGTCAGCTCTATCCTCGAGAGCATGGTGCAAAAGCTGGACACCCTGTCTGGGGTTGTTGACCTTGGAGCTTTTCTGCAATTGTTCGCGTTTGGTAAATTATATTGTGCAGGTGACTGCAATCTTTACTGACACTTGTTTATCAGATGTAATCGGTGCAGTCAGTTTTTCACGCCCGTTCGGCTATGTCATTGCTGGGGACGATGATGGGGTATTTGCTCGCCTGAAGCAATCGTTGCGGTCAATGTCCTGGCTCATGAGTGTCCCCTGGTTTTACGATCTCCATCAAAAGCTCCAACCATACATTGGCAACTGGCTGGCAGTCAATGATCGGAATGGCTACTTTTACCAATTTGCAGCTCAAGAGATCGTCTCGCGGAAAGACCGGGGCGGCGATGACCGAGATATCGTGAACCAGCTGTTTGCAATTCAAAAGACCAAGCCTCACTTCAGTGACACGGACATGGCATATATGATGACAACAAATGTGTTTGCGGGCTCGGATACGACGGCGACGTCGCTCAATGGGATATTCTATCTTCTTCTGAGAAATCCGACCGTCTACCAGCGACTTATGCAGGAGTTGGAAGAGAAGAAATCCAAAGGAGAGCTGAGTGACCTTGTAACGTTTCAGCAAGCGGAATCATGTCCTTATCTGCAGGCTGTGATGTATGAAGCGCTCCGGTTGTATCCTGCTGCTGGACTTCAACTAAACCGCGATGTGCCGGAGGGAGGCATGAAGATCGGAAAGTACTATATTCCAGAGGGAGTAAGTTATCCTCCTTCCTAGTTTTCGGACTCCTGTTGTAACATGGGCGCAGACGGTAGTCGGGTCATCTGCGTGGGTCATCCACCGTCTTCCCGAGATCTGGGGTTCTGACTTTGAGGAATTTCGTCCGGAGCGGTGGCTGGAAGGGAACGTGGGAGATCTCAGTATGTAACTCCAGTTCATGGTGACATTTGCTTACTGCTTACAACGATCCAGAACGGTTCTATTTTGCATTTGGCGGCGGGTCCCGCACATGTGTTGGCAGGAGTAAGTATTTGAATAACTGTTGACGGGTTGTGACATGCTGACATCTTCTAGACATAAGCTGGCTGGAGATGTCTAAGGTATAGCTTACTCTCGTATATCTCGACTAACGCTGATATGCTAATTATGGTCTAGCTCGTCCCTACCCTTCTCATGCGCTACAACATCCAATTGGCACCGGGCGCAAAGGTGACAGATGAGAGCGGGTAAGCTAGCTACTTGATTTTTGCGGGAGGTCTGCTAACCCGTTATAGAGGCTTAATCTTTATCAAAGGACTTAATGTACTTTTAAGTCCGCGACAGGAATCAGTGGCGTGAGATGGCTCCAGGTCAAGATAGCTTCAGTGGCCGGAGAAGGTGTGACTATGGGTTGGCTGCACCTGACAGACTCATCAGACAACGTATGCTTAGTTCAATGTGAAGTTTTGGCAATAGCAATAGGAGTTCCCCATCAAACCCCTTGTTCCTGTGCTTCACTTATTAGTAACAGAAGGATCAGCTTCCATTGATAATATCATTCCTTATATACCAGAATCCAACCAATCAAACCAGCACATCTTCACCCCGACGGAGAGTCCAACCCCGGGTGACCCGAACCCCGACGGCATCTCATCTGCACGGACATAACTAATTCCTACCAACTTATCACCGAGCCCTAAGCATGCATAGTAGATAGAAGAAACACCACATCGTGAGAACAGTATAAAACCAGCCCTTCACCCTCCAAACAATCACCCCCTCACCCTCAGACATCACAAGCGCCATATCACACTGCAACCACCCACTACAATGACCACCAAAACCCTCTTCCTCACCGGCGGCAGCGGCTACATCGGCAGCGCACTGATCCCCCTGGCCCTCTCACGAAACTACACCATCCGCGCCCTCTCTCGGACCCCCGAATCCGACAAAAAACTTCTCTCCCTCGGCGCGACCCCTATCCGAGGCGACCTAACCAGCCTGACCACCCTCCACACCGAAAGCGCCTCCGCCTCGGCCGTAATCCACCTCGCGACAGCCTTCATCTTCGGCCAAACCCCCAGCTACACCACCATCTCGCACATTGACACCGCCGCCCTCGACGCCATTGTCTCCGGTCTCTCCTCTACCCCCAACCCAGACAGTTCCCCCAAACCCCTCGTCACCACCAGCGGCACGCTCGTCGTACGGCCCAACCCAGACGGGACCGAAACCGACGAGTTCTCCCCACTAGACACGCACCCTCTCGTCTCTCGGAACGAGATCACAACGCACGGGATACGTCTCGGCGAGAACTCCCAGGGGAAAGTACGGGTCATGGATATCCGACTGGCGCCGTTCGTGTACGGGCGCGGCGGCAGCGGCGTCAGACTGTTCATGCAGATGGCGAAGCAAGCGGGGAAGATCATTACGGTGGATGGTGGTAGGAACCGTACGACGACGGTGCATGTGGATGATGCGGCGGAGTTGTATTTGCTTGCTTGTGAGAAGGGTGTGCAGGGCGGTGTGTATAATGCGAGTGCGGAGACGGGGGTTACGGTGGGAGAGATTTTGGGGGCTGTTGCGGAGATTATGGATGTTCCGGTGGAGGATTTGGGGGTCGAGGAGGCGAGAAGTGTGTTGGGGGATGCGGTGGCTGGTTTTTTGGCTGCTGAGAATAGGGCACGGGGGGAGAGGGCGAGGAGGGAGTTGGGATGGGTTTGTAAAGGGGTGGGTGTGTTGGAGGATGTTAGGAGTGGGTCGTATGTTGAGGTTGTGGAGGAGTTGAGGGGGTAAGCTGGTTGATTGGGATATTTCAGTTCTTTGAGCTTTTTCTTGTGTTTTTGTTTTGATGTAGTTGTAAGGATGTTAAGTGTCTAGTTGTGGTGTTGTGTTCTGTTTATGTAGTCTTTGACATTGGGCAATCTATGTCTTGTGTTATTCATGTATATTGTCTTGTTTTTATCCCTCGTTGATCTACATACATACATGCATAGAAAGTAAGCAATACATATTTCTTTTTTTCCAGTTACACAGAGTTGACATATAGTTAATAATTCTCCGATCAATGTCCAGTGTCAGTCAGGCTGGATAAGCTTTGTGGGGAAACGGGCCGGTCCGGACATTCCATCCATTTTGACAGCTACAATGGGTAGATGCTGTGATGATTAGAGAAAAAGCAATATAATCATTGTTTCGACATACAAAGGACGCATATGGATTGAACTCTGTAATGATATCTACGTATACTGAAGTTGGTAGGTATGCACACAAACCTTTGTCGAGCATGATTATGTGATGATAGACATGAGTCAAGTCTGCTGTATAGCATGAATTTGCCACACCAATCCAATAATGCACAGAGGTCCGTATCTACCAGGGGTTGTAGCTCAGTGGTAGAGCGCTCGCTTCGCATCCATTAAATGGGAAATGCGAGAGGTCAAGGGTTCGATCCCCTTCAACTCCAACTCTTCTTTTTGTTTTTGGCTTTGAGATTTTTGGTGATTCGAATGCAAGCAGATTATGGTGGATATCGAAGATAACAATGGGGTTGCATACACGCACTGTTAGTTGATGGAGATCAGGAGAGAGTGTGTCGTAGTCGGTCTAACTTGGAGATACTTTTGATTATTCGTCCCATGTGTGTATAAGTATATTTCGTATTCTGTATTTCTAAAATGTCCATTCTGTCCTGCTCCAGCAGGTCACCAGATATGCATGTTTCTCTTGAGTAAAGATCTGATCGTTAACTTCCTTCTCCCCTACATTTCAGTCTCCATGGCTACTGCGATGGGCGGTTGGAACTGCTGACGATCATTAGCCAGGCTATCTTTCAGCGTAATTCGTCATCAGAAGATCCAATAGACTGGATAGCAATTGAATCTAAATACAAATGAGTCAATAAAAGGGCTCAATATTCCTCCAGTCTCTGCCGAAACACGATTGACAGCGTTTCATCAGGAACCACCACTTCATTTCGGGTCTCTTCTAGAAGTAGAACCAGGGCATTGCCGACGATATAGCACTTAGGCGACTGTGTATCAGAACAGGCTGTTAACGAGGATGGTGAACTACCTAGAGCCAAGTCAGGCCAGGAAGTGGTTACAAGCTCGAAGACTCTTGGTTCGAGTGCCAAACTACCTCGTGGCAATGCTTCTTTAGCGCGTGCGCATGAACTGATGCGACGCGTAGTGACTTGGCTTCTATAACACTAGACTCAAGTTTTCCACAACAAGTTGGCTGGATGGTGTAGTTGGTTATCACGTATCGTTAACACCGATAAGGTCCTGGGATCGAGCCCCAGTCTGGTCATACTTTTTGCCAAGCGATGCTTTTTGCATCATTGCTAAATTGCTTTTACAGGTATCCAAGGGGCCAGCCTCATTCCAAATTGTCTGAAGTTCAGCATCTACATGTTGCCCATGACCATCAACTGCTCCTTTCCGTGCGACTGTGTCATCGAGAAAGTCATGTTGATCTACCCGCAACCCTGCTACAATCTGACAAAGTCCCAACTTAGGTGAATAGATATAGTCTCAAAACGGAAACGCAGAGCAGTTAGCCAGACATTAGGATATTGATAACGAAAAGACTTTTGTTAGCCGACTTCCGTGCTACTTTATAGAGCTCTCATCCCATAGGCGTAGTTCGGTATGCAAGTCTAGGGATCGACTAATAACTGTTTGTGGGGAAGATATTGGGTTTTTGTATGCATGCCAAGCTCTGTCATGCAACAGCTCTAGCGACATTTTGTCTGTACCGATCGG